AATCCATAATCTCCTCTCAAAAGCTCATCTTTATATCAAAATTTCACCATAGCTCTATATATCCATCTTTAACATATATGTAAAGTCTTAACTTCCAAAAAAACCCCTTTACTTTGTATAAAATACTCAAATTATAATAAAATTCCTTCAAAATATATTTTTTCTACAAAGGATTTTTTCTTTCCAAACTTTAGAAATTTATATCTCTTGATCCAGCAGTTCAATTTTTATCAAATTTATAGATAATATAGAATTTATTTTTAAGCATTACTACAAAAAAAATTCAATTGTAAATGTGCTACCAATCATTTGGCATCTTAAAAACCCTAGAAGGTGCTTCAAACCCTAATTCACAAGCATCTAAGTACTATTTTTTTTATATCTCATAAATACAAAATATAAATGCCAAAAAAATTATGTATAAAATTTAGTAACATAATAATATACATTCTTAGAAATTAATAAATAAAGTATTGTCAAATTTCACAAGATATAACTCAAAATACAACTACTAGTAATTTGGGTCACTTACTACTCCTTAAATTGCAAGCGCTGACTTCAACTTCTAATATCTCCTTCATCCTAGCTTAAAATTCATAAAGAAATATAAGTAAAGTATAGCCAAAAAAGTACTTTCTCCAACCTTAGTTGCCGATTCTTAATTTCTTTATGTAAGCATGCGTTATATCCGAAAGAGTGATAGTAGGTACAAAACCAACACCTTGACTTTGAGCACCTATATCTCTTTCATAAAAACTCCAAATGATTCAAAATTTGTACCAAAACTATAGCTAAAAACGTGAACTTAGTAATCTTAGCCTCCAATGTTCAAATTCTTCCAAAAAACTAACCATAATCCCTAATATGGCCTCGAACAGCCTCTTTGAAGTTCATTGGTCATGATTTTTGACCAATAGAAATAGAGATTTATATCATCCATCTCCATTCATTCATATGAATATCCTAACTACCTTTTTTGCTACCAAAATCCTTCTTCAATTACTTTTCACTTAAGATTTACATATTATATGCCTTAAACACCAAATTAAAGAACGAAAATAAAACTTTAAGGGTCACCAATGTCTTACAAAGGTGACTCTAGATGTATAAAGTTACTACCAATAAAACCAACTTCAAAAGTCACTATCAAAAGAAAATAAAGTTATACAAATTCTAATAGTAATCCTTTTAAACAACTCCCTTTTAAAGTAGTAATTTAACCACACTCCACAACCAACTAAAATCCAATAACATGGCTCTTATCATGTTGCTAAGTAAATTATACATTAAATATATAAACACATTATTTTCATATGGTAGCCGAACCACAACACAACACTGTATGATCCCAACCTTCGATGTACACTTGACATTGATGCTTTTGACTTTGCTATTGGAGTGGTCTTTCAATAAGACTTTGGTAGGGACCTTCAATTTGTAGCATATGAATTACACAAGCTCAAAAGACTAAAGTACAATGACTTTATATGTGATCAAGAGTAGTTAGCAATTCTACATGCTACAAAAGTGTAGTGACACTATGTAGTGGAGAAGCCCATGATTGTTTGGACTAACCATCAATCCTTTCTATATAATTCATATTTAAAAAAAATAAAATCATGATATCATCTTTAGAAAGAATAATTATAATTTTTTGATATTTAGCTTAAGTACAAGCAAGAACAACAATATAGTGTGCTAGACAACTTATTACAAAGATCAGACTTAAAGATCAAATTAAGAAACAAAGCAAAAGTTGTTATCATTAGTAGTATCATCTCAAACCTAATCAAAGATAGAATAGAAGGAATCTTTGCATTAAAATGCTTATTTCAAGATAATTAGTAATTAACTGAAGATGGAAAATATATAGTATCAAGATTACAATCTTAGTGATGGCTTGTTCTATTTCAAGAAGCAAAATTATGTACTTGACAATGCTATTAATGAAATATACATACTTCAAGAGGAATATGACATTCCAATATCTGGACACCTAGGGCGAGAAAAGACTCCAGAACAGATTTCAAGGATATGATTTTGTATGGGTTTGGATTATGATATTTGAACTTTTGTGCACTCTTGCAAGTCATGCCAATATAATAAGGCATACAATGCATCATTTCTTACACTATTAAAACGAATTCCACTACCTATGATATGTATATAGAGCAGGTGACTATGGATCTTATTACATATTTATTATAAACGCCTCATAATTACACTACGGTTGCTATCTTTATAGATTGATTCTTAAAGTAACTTCACTTAATTACAGTGTGCTCTAATATTGATGTCTCAATACTTCCATGAGTCTTCTTCAACTCTGTCTTTTGTCACCATGGATTATCTCATATCATCATTTTAGATTGGAATCTACGCTTCATGGAGAATTTTTGGCAAGCCTTATTTAAGCTACTAGACATACAATTTGTTATATCTACAACCTTCTATCTTCAAATAGATAGACAAATGGAGTGTACAAATGAGACCCTAGAGGATATGTTATGAACATTTGTAGTAGTTCATCATAACAACTTGCATGAATATTTCACTATTCTTCCTTAATATCAATCAGCATCTGATTATGCCACCAATCTTTCATTGTCCCATCAACATCAACAATTTGATAATGAATGAATTTTTACAATGGCTTACAACGGCCTTGCAGAAAGCACAATATTATTTTCTTACTACATAAAATTAACAAAAGAAATATGTGGATAACGATTGAGAACACAAGACCTTCCAAGAAGGTGAAAAAGTATTACTCTCCAACACCAACTTTCTACTTGCTACATCAACTCAAGTCCATAAACTAGCACTTCAATGACTTCAATCTTTTTACATTTCTGTAGTAATTTTTGATGTTGCATACTGCCTTGAGCTTCTGCCATACATTTGGGTCTGTCTAAACTTCTATGTTTTGCAGTTCAAGGAGTTTTATATTGAACCAAGGTGCTTTGCAGACCAATACCAACCACCATTGCTACCACCGATTGAAATTGATGACCAATAAAAGTATGAAGTGGACAATATTTTGGAGCATCGCTACTTTCGTCGTGGCAATGGACATCCGCAATTTCAGTAGAAACTTCTCTTGAAAGGTTATTCCATCTACAATGCAATGTAGGAACATGTACAAAACTTCATTTATTGTTAAGAAACAATTTGGAAATACCATCGTGAATGAAACAAGGACGTTTTGCAATAGTAGAGAAAAATTAGGTGTAACAAGGCATGGATAGGATGGTTGTATTATTTACACATAAATTGTTTTGTTGAAGTTGGAGTTGTTTTGAGAAAGCTTCTATAATTGAGGTTAGAATAGTGGTTCATGTAGGATCCACCATAGAATCTTCTAAAAAAACTTAAGATAATTATCATGGTGGAGTCTATCTTTAGAAGGATGATTATCTTAGTACGACCCACTATTAGAAATATTCTAGAATGTTCTAAGATAATTAAACAAAGTATAAATAGGACTCACTAAAGCTATTTGAGAAATTTAGTTAGATATGGCTTCAAACTCTTTTTCTCAATAAAATTAAGTTTTCTTGTTCCATTTTGTTTGGTTCTATTTGCTTTTATTCTCTTCTACTTAGTCATATCTTTCAAATTCCATTCTGTTTACTTACTTTTAGTTTTATTTTAGTTCATTTGGTCTTATGTTGTGTTGAGATCCTTGTTGTTATGGATTTGATAAGGTTTTAGATATTAAAAGATCTGGTCTTGTTTCATATCCCAAAGGGCTTAAGACGAGCATCATTTGTTATGTGGAGTATGAATGAAGCGGCTTCAAACTGTAGAAGTCCGAAGAACTTGTCGATATGATTTTTTTATAACATTAATGCAAGATCCTTCATCTATAAGTATAACTTATTATAAGGAAATAATACCTATTACTTATAGTTGTAACCTTACAAATGCATTGTAATTCTTTTGTATTTATAAGTAAAATTTTAAGTAATGAAATTGTGTGAATGTCCAACAAAGTCTTTGATGGTTTTATCACTGGATAATTTTTTCATATCTACATTTTAGATATTATACTAGAAATTTAAAAAATATTTTCAAAATATTAATTCCTATTCAATTTATCTCAAAAAAAGCTAAATTTTTTACAAAAAAAATTAATCTCATTTAAATCAAGGTATATGATAAGAGCAATATCTCAATAAATCAATATGTAAAGTATAATTGAAGTTTATTATTAAAAACCACTCATTAGTGTATGTATGTATATAAATATATATATATATATATATATATATATATGATATCATTTTATTTATTAATTCTTTTTTTATTGATCAAATTTATTAAAACTCAACATAAAAAATAATGTAAATTTTAAAAATTTTAAAGTATTACAAAAAAAAACTCTAAATTGCTATCTATCATATTAGACTTTATTTCATAAAATTTACAAATAAATCTACCATTGGTGCTTCAAGACATCTTTATTAATATATGTGTATATGTGCACATATATATATATATATATATATAAGCTCATTATTATCTAAAATTAACAAAGATGCCAATATGCCTCCTCTTATGCAAAAATGCACATGTTACTTTTTAAAGGGAAGACCTTCACAGCAAAACAAATGTGGATCAAGGATGGGTGAAGACAGAAATGAATGATACATCGAAAGCACATTCATCCATGAGCCTTTTGGGTAATTACAGCACATGCAGATCAGGGAAACCTTCGTCGTCTGCGTGGCCTCCGTCGTCGTCGTCGTCGAGGCATGAGCGAGAAAGGTTGAGATCCACCACCGTCGAATGGCGACGACGTGGAATCCATCGTTGTCAGAGAAGTGGACGAAGCTGTGGTTGGCGGCAACCTCAAACTCCACCGCATACTAAACACGCGGGCAAACGAGCCGACGTGGACGCCACGCCGGATCGTCATGTGTCGAACAGGCGGCCAAGTCGCTCCGCGGCCACGCCCTTCAAGGTGGCAGTTGCTGCATCGCAGCGCACCCTTGTTACAGATTGGCTTGCCGTGCCCATTTGCAAGCACGCCGCCTTCTGAATCCAGTCAGGACCCTCCCCTCTGCTCTGTGCCTGTGTCTCTGTGTTGTCTGTGTGCGTGTTTCGCCACCACGGAGGAGGACCAGGACGCCACGCTGTAGCTCGCTCTCTCTCTTCTCCCCCCTCCCTTTGCATTGGGTGTGCACGTTTTGTGCTTTACCTGCCTTGGGGTCTGAAGGGGAGAGTGTCGATTGCGTCCCGATTTGTTGTTGCCTGTCATGGTTCATGCAGTGACCTGGAACCCTCTTAGCAACAGCTCTGCTCCTTGCTGCTGCACCGGGTATGTCATGCTTGCTTTGTTTCTTGTTGTGGAAGCGGGGTAGGTTGGCTGTGAGCTGCTGTGTTGTGGGTGTTTTGTGTTATGTAGCTCGGAATTGGAGGTGAGGATGGTGGGTTGGGGATTGGCTATTGGGAGGCAAGTGTGAGAGCAGATTGAGGAGTGTGTGCAGTGGTGTTTTGAATTTGGTAATTGAATGCCTCTGAGTTCGGACCTGAAGGGTGTCCTTGGTTCTGCCACTGGGATTAGAAGTAACTAGCGATGTTTAAGACTCATTGGACGATTTGTGCACTTTTCCTCCAGAACAAGCGATGTATCGCTCTTTAAGCAGAATTTCCTGGTAAGTAAGGGTAAACCAAGCCTGAATAAGTTGGTACCCATGAGAAGGCTGCCTGCGACCAATGCCGCAATCAGGAATTCTTCGGAGGCTTCAACTGACTTTCAAGGAAGAGATACCACTGCATCTTGTGGCATGCCTTGTGCAATTAACTGTCCCATAAACAGAGACACGAATATTCAACTCTGGGTGGAAGAATTCATACCAGAGGTTCCCCCCTTATTTCACCTCTTTCTATCACATCTCCAACATCCTTGATTGCAATTTTCAGATGGCATGACCGCTCAAATTACAGGTGCTGACCTGATCACACTTAGATCTCCACTGAATTGAATTGTTCATTTAGCAGATTGTAAAGAACATCCAGGAAGCTCCCTTCCTGCAGTACGTTTTCGACTCCAAGGGCAGACCTGGCAGATCACAGCGGCAAAAAATTCCTCGGGATTTAGGGAAGAATCCCGACTTCTGGCCTCCCATCCGCGAGTTCTTGTCCAGGGCTGCTCCGGATGGGGTTCTTCTTGTTCAGAAGATGGAACCTGGGTGCTCCCCTGCTTTCTGTCTTGCAAGGGAATTCCAGTCGGGTAATCATGAAGAGATCGTTTGTCCTTTCTCACCATCTCAGGGTGGAGCAGACACAAGTGTGTGGGGAGTTCTCGTGCAAGCGAGAGGCGTCCATGCAAACGCTTGTTACCTGTTGAAGACCACACAAGTGCCTTCATCCGCCGGGATCTGCACCAGGTACTGCCTAACGAGAGCGAAATGTTTTGGACCCTCGCATGTTGAGCAGATTGAGAATGCTTGGTTGCAAAATTAGCCTCGGACCTGTGAAAAAACCACTACAGAACCGGAGAATTAGGACTTAAGAAAGCACAAATTTGTCGTCTGAAGGTGTTGCTTGTGCAGCGCAACACGGCGCCTTCACTTGTCCAAATCATTCCTGCCAAATTGGCGATCACATTGTTGGGCACAACACTCAGCTCGGTGTACTATAATGTACATTTAGAATCTGTTCGTATCATTCTCCATTAGTATAGTTAGAACTCTCAGCGTTGTAAACTTGCAGTCATCAGAAGTCGGAAGAACTTGCACAGCGAGGGATGCTTTTACTATACTTTTATAAATACTTACTTGATATTTAACCCAGTTGTATAATTAGGGGTTAGCAGGTTTTTGAGCTGTTATAATGCAGTAGTAGGTGCTGTACAACTCTTTTCACAGCATTCGTTGTTTGGCATTGATAGAATTTGCTTGAGAGGGAGAGAACAAAAGCAAATCATAGAGAACATCAGAATCGAATTACTAAATGTTAACAAATTTACTTGCATTGGTCTGCTCACAAGCAATGACTTCACAAACCCAAGTCTGTGCACGGAGACTTATTACTTAAATTAGCATGATGTTATGAATATTGCAATCATATCTAATACATTTACGCATATATTTTGATGGACAAGACTTTGGCACTGAGTGGTGTTGACTGCACCTCTGAATGATGCTTTCAAAGTTGCTATGTCAAATCCAACAACATAATACCACCTAGCCTAGCCACCCATAGTAGGATTGGGTGTCCACATAGGTGGGGTTGGATAGAATCTCAAAGCCCTCAACCCCAAATAAATGGGTGTGCATGGAACACCCCCAAGACAAAAGCACAGATTGTCTTATCTGTCCAATCTGTGAAGATATAGATGGTTGTACTTCCAATAAATACTTCGAAGCGGCAGAAGACTAGAAATTAACTTCTGAAGAGCTTGTGGCACACATAATTTTCGGATAGTACTAACAAATTGTTTATGTGCAACAGAGTTGTTCGGTCTCGAGGGTAATTATGCCCACGTCTTGATTTCCGGTACATGTGTTGTGAGAGCATTTGATTGGCAACAATCGCAGCACTGCGTGCTCCAGGAGTGTATCTGGCATGTATCTCGAGAAAAGAGTAGCTCATACCATTGACGATGAAAATGGCAGGAGCACCACTTGAGCACTGCATTACAGCCTCCCTTATCTTCAGAGCCTCCCAGGTGTTGAGCCACTTCTTCAATCCTTTCGGTACGAATGACAAGATATTAAAACTTAATAGGGAGAACAATGTGTTAGAAGCGGAGGTACCGGCACCCGAAGACAGTCAATTGCGAGAAACAGGACGTCAGTTCACAGGGACGACAACTGGATCAGACAAATGTGACTAATGAAGACCTAATCCCAAATGGAGTCGAGTTTTGCACTTAGTCGCATCGGACGTCACTATCTAAATGTTAGTTCGCAATTTTCTGGTCCACATGTCATCTGTTCCTAACACCGGATCTCCATATAAGCTAGAACAATGAAAGACCCAACCTCCAAGGTCCTTCCGAAAGATTTGGGATACTTTTGTCATGTCAAAGCAGTAACCACAGCAGATGCATAGCTGACACTACTGTCGCGCATGTTTTTACATTGACTTGATTGTTCGTACTGCAAAAACTTGATGCGCATCCTTGTGGCACAGTGCCTCAAAATCTGTAAAACAAGACAGCGCTGCCTTGTATAAGATCTCACAAACAAGAAACATGCACAAACAAAATTCAGTAATTGAAAGAAATATCATCAAATCAGAGTTGAGCAAGCCAAGAAAATCATTTTAATGGTATTGAAAGAGAAATATGACATGAAAGAAAACTCCAATGGGGTGCCGTCCACAGATTGTGTTCTTAAACTCGCTTAGATACTCCTGAAAAGCATCTGGATCACCAGACTCAATGATGTCCATGCCACGCTGATCCAGGGCTTCAATCGACTTGTAAATGGGACCCCGTTTCTTCTCATAATACTGGTAACCAAACCTGTATCATGACCAAAATTGCCATTGTAAGAAATCGACAGTAGACATCTTGACCTACGAAAACTTGACGTGATCTCAAGTCACAGAATGAAGATTGTCAATTTAAAACACAGCTTGGGGCTTCATAATTATGCACGACAGTTCGACTTCAAAAGGGTATGAGGCTAAAAGATTTTAGTGCTCTAAAAACTGAGAAAAACTGCAGTTTTGAATGGGACTTAAGAGGTTACTGTAGAGCAGCAAAGGCTCACCGTGAACCCCAGTGACAAAAATCTGAAGATATTGAAAAGAAGTTGTTTGGGTCATCAATATACTTCGCCAATAAACGCCCATACGTCGCCTCAGTTTCAGGAGGGCAAGCACCTATCATTATGGGCACGATTTTCACATTAGTCCTGCAAGTGCACCCACAGAAGAAAATCAGCAATGTCTCTCCAAATGCATTTCATAAAGCAATTGAAACCAAAAGCATAAAATCCTCGCACCATGTTACATGTGCAAATTGACATTTCACATACCCTTGGAAGACCTTCGCGAGAAAAGGTAAATGCATCTCCATGCTATGCTCGGCCTCATCAACGCTCATGGACATATCCTCAAACCTGCCGCTGGCTCGGAGTTCATCGTAAACTGTGAACAAAAATTTGTATTAGTGCATAAACAGTAGTTGTACAAAACAATTTGGAAAATATAAACTGCATTTTCCTAGAAGTTCATTTTCTGTAAAAAGATTAAACAAAATCTATGACTCGCTCAATTCCTGTCGCACATGTGTATTCATCCGCGACCTCTTCTTCAAGAATCTGACAGCGATGGAGTCCAACCCAAACCCCACAGCATTGCTACAATGAGGATTTGATGAGTGGTGGAAGAATACTGCAATAAGGTTGGCAGTTTATACCCTCGTGATCAATTGGAAGGTCTCCAAGAGGAGTCTTGTAAACAGAGGCTGTTGACAACGCACATTTCCTTGTGAAGTGATGATGTGATGGCCCCAAGAGAAATACCCGCTGTCTGAGGAGCCATACCACAATACATACCCCACAGGAATCAATGTTTGTGAGTCTTGCAAACATTGAGTTCAAGGTTCAATGCCAATTGACAACATTGGCCCACATCACACTCGGAATCACAGATTAGTGCTTTAACATGGGCTTGCAGAAAACTTACACACGTTGTGAATCAATATTAGCAAAAGCGTAAGCTGCGCAACGCCCTGAATACCAGTAGCCAGCATGCCTGCCAACACCCACAAATAATCAAGCCATTCAACGCCATGTGAATTTACTGGCGTCACTAGGAATCACCAATAACCCAAGAGACCTGGAAACATATGTCAATTTTCATGCAATGAAGTTTTCAGGAAAGCATATTTTCCAAAAAAAGAACTTACGGAGCTATAATAGCACGGGCATCAGTAAGTTTGGGCAGCCCTGATGAACGCAACCAGTAGTCCAGCTCCTGAACTAGCTCCTCAGCTACAAAGACAATAGCAATGTGACGTGCAAATGTCAGATCATGGTATTGAAGCTGATAAGTAGATAATCGGTGCTTGTAATGTTGAGATCATGTGGAAACCTCAACCTTGACGGAAGGCAGGAATGAATGGTTTATAAAAGGTTACCCTAGTTCTAACCCTGTAAACTTAACTTCGAGAGGAGTGATATTTATATCACAAGTCCTGAAGACATGCCACTTTTAGTAGTCATAAAGGTCTTAAAAATGATTGCACAAAAGGCATGAAGTATCTACAGGTATCTTGAAGACTGGGAAAATTTCGATTAGTCGCTCTGAATACGTTGACATAAACACCGTAAATGATAGCTAATTCTCACCCACATACATCATGATAGAACTGAAATTCTCTTAAAAGAAATTCAACTGCAGCGTACTCGTGATTTCCACGAATAGAGATTGACACAGTCAGGTTGTAACTAATTTCCCTACCTCTCGCCATCCACATCGCAGTCATTACAGCTCCATAATATGCAACCCACAAACTTGCATATTATGGAACTAAGAAAATCCTGATAAATCATAGCGACTATCCAACCTCACAAACCACGACGCTGATAAAATTAAAAACCGATTCAACTCTGTTCTACGAGGAGGTCGTTCATAAAAATCCCGGGTCATATTGTGAGGGTTCCCAGGAACCTGATCCTTTCGCCAGTTCTGGTCCCTCAGAGGTTTCCGGCTATCTACATAACTCCGGCATAAACAACCCAGATCATTTCCATCGCAAATGTGGCAGCACAAGAAAGGACGACCAAACTTACCATCGTCTGAATACCAGGAGCCTGCATGAGTTGCTTCCCTGCACGCCATCCTAGTGTTCCTCCTGGACGTTTACTGAAGAGGACTCTGTGTCCAATAACCCATAAACCTCAATTCCTCCGAGGTTTCTCACCGCCGGCAAACAAAGCCTCAAATACTGACACCAGCCTCTTTCGCAGCTCTACTCAACATCTAAGACTTCAGGTTTGTGCAATTGCCCAGGTTGTAAATCATCACGTAATGGAGCATCTGGGGAACTGACTTCTAAGCTCTGGCCATCATCATCATCATTGTGTGAATCAATTGCAACTGATTCACGTTGAGGATCCCTGCTTTGAATATACGAGAAGGGGTAACCGTCGCAGACATGGAAGAAAGAATCAAGCATCTTGATAATCGGAATTTCATCTCTACTGCATGACACATCCTGTCATACGCGTAAGGGAAATCCAGTTGGCTTTAAAACGGGAAATAAAGAGAGCGTTGATGTCATTCTCGCTTCCCAAACTCGGATCGAAAGGAATTTGTTCCAAATCAAGATAAACGATGCCTTCCTTAGTGATACTATCAGCACCACGGTTTTACTGTACATGTACCTATTTAAAATTAAGTGTTTGGTGGTGTTTTGACGAATATACAGTTTCGAAGTCACTGACTTGGGCATTTTGCTCCGCTGACTTTACACCGACTGCCGGTCCTCCCTGTTTGTTGAGCGGTGATTGAGTAAGATTTTAAAGCCAGGTCATCCACATGTGACCTTAGCTTATAACCCGCATAATTTTGCTTGATTTGCCTCAGTGAAAATTACGCAATGTGTAAAGCTGAACAGAATGTCCGTGCAAAAGATTGTCCCCAATCTATGTCAATGCTTGGTTATAAGAGAATAGTAACTTTAGTCTGATAATGGCTAGGGTGGACTGCTTTTGGAGGTGCAGACGCTTCTTGAGAAGAGCTGAGGTACATTAATATTCTTTGAATGTCAATTTTTTCACGTAAGTACGAAATGGCAATATTACGAATATGAAAAGGTAGCGATTGTTTCAGAATCCTTGGGAAAAACACCACCATTTTCCAGAAGCTGCAAATGACCAGCTACAGTATTTTGGTTCCATTGGTTTCTTGATGGAATTATGGATAAGAGCCTCGTCCACCCAGTAGTTTGTAGATGTAACGAATCCTGTAGTAATCATGCCTAAAAGCGATGAGTTAGAGAGGAGATTCAAAATCTATCAAATTACGGCCACAGGTCAGCAAACATCTATGTCACCGAGTTGTTAATGTCAACAAGTACGGCGATTCAGGACAAACAGCTGATGAAAACAAATGAGTTGTGTAGATTGCAGGAAAGCTCCGCATCACACTTCTAGAGGTCAATGAGTTGAAAAATTCGTGCATTTTACACCCGCCTCAACTACGACTCACAAAGATATCTTCAAGATGTTCACTGGCTCAACAAAGTCATTGCTCAAAAGAGAGTTACTTCAGATCTTGACAGATATTAATGTGGAAACAACTGTGTCAGACAATGTAGAGCTCTCATGTCTCCTAAAAACCAAAGAAAAAATAACACTAGTCTTTTGAAGTGATTACTAACAAGCCTAGAACTCCAATCAAAAAGTACTGCACACACAGCAACAATTGTAGCGTTAGCTGATAAAAAAAAAATTAAAGTTCAGTTCCAAAGAAAGAACAATATTGATGCATGGGCCCATGCCCACCAAGGGTCGGGCTCCACCACACGCACTCTTGTGTCGTGGAAACTTTTGAAATTCAAGCTCGGTGAAATAAATATATTTTTCAATTGAAATGGCAAGAGCAGGAAGCAACAGAAACCAACCTTGATGTAGGGCTTCTCTGTCATAATGATGGTAACCCATCCCACATATGGTAAAAACCTGTGGAAAAAGGGTCCAAATCAAGTCCTTCAATAAACATTTCAGAAACGCCATAAAAAACTCATAACAATGTAAACCCTGCTTATGACAAAGTATCCAAACGACAAAATGAATAGTTCGATCACCCACCCAACTGCTCGTCCCATAATATGTTGGCGTTGTAGCCATAACTGGTTTGCAGCGTAAAGAAGACGATCATCACCAGTATTATTGTCTCCTGTGGTTTTCACATAATTTACTTGCAAATTTAAGTCCCCGTATTACCTGAATAAAAACCAAATAGACCCCAAGTGCATCATACTCAAACCTGCAAGAATGAAAAGCAGACTTCGAACAAAGTATAACATCGTACCTTTTGTAAGAACCTCGTAATCCCCCTTTTCAATATTTTCATGAACCTGCAACAAGATTGCAGAACTACTTTATTAAAAATTCCAATAAACTGTTGGCTTCAATGGAGTTACAAAAAACACACATTTCAACATACTACCAATTGAGGCTAGGTGAAGTACAAGTTCTACATGCAGTAACAATATGACAGGACACTTGAGTGGAAATAAATACATCCAACACATACACACCTTAATCACTCTGTGTACAATAGGTATGTCCCGCCCCTGCAAAATTGAACAAACCAAAATGTGCACAACAGACGTTACATAAAGCTTCCAATGGCATGACCATCTGGCTAACCCATGTTACAGTGGTCAACATTAACACTGTAGCATCAATAAGACGGTTCAAACGAACTTATATTCATTGTCAAGCTTCGTGAAGCTGCACTTGGTCCAAAAGCAATTGCCAGGTCTTGAATTCAACCACAGAAGAACAACCAATCGAACTTATACACTGTTTCGAACCCAAAGTACTTGTTTCATCATGTAAAAAGGTCTTCTGTTGTGAACTTACGTCGACGTGGAATACAACGATTTCTCCAGCTCGGATTGGAGCTTTGCCCATGTGAAGGAAGAGGATATCTCCCTACCAACACAAACACAAAGATGCATGTTAAACGTACAAAGACGATTCCAAGATTTAATATTACAGAAAACGATATGAAGAGAACTTTATTCGTGATTCTTGCCGAAGCCGATTAGAGGACTAGATTTAATAGCGTTTCTCAACGTGCTTAAACGTCTCTACATATTCGTTCAACAGAAACTCAAAGGCTTGGTGCACTCTGCCAGCTACAACTATTACGTCAAGCTGAGACACACAATCAATAGAATCCACCTTTCTCACTAATGGCAAAATACGGCTGATCATCAACAAATTCCAATCCAGTGAACTAAGGATAGACTTTGTGCGTACCCTTCTAAAACCAGGCTCCATGCTACCTGAGAGAACAACAACGACAGGGGATTCACTCCCCGTGAAGCACATTAACCCTTTCCATATGATCAAAGCTGACGTCACGATCATTCCTGAAAGTCGGCGCCCCAAATCAAGAGAATTAATACGAATAATTCATCAAGTCCAATTCTCAAGTTTCAGATCATCAGTAGTATGTCAAACACGATTTAAAAAAACAAAAAAACACAATCAAAATCTGAGTAGCAACATGATCACATTTACTTCAACACCAAAAAAACGCCTCAAAAAATAAAAAATAAAAACACGCACACACGCAACTAACCAGAACCCCACAACATGCTCAACCTGCTCATAATTGATTCATCCACCCTAAAAGATCACTCAATCACATCCAGCTACCCTAAAATGCACTTCGGACACCAAATTGCACATCAGCCCAGAGAATGCGGCACAAAACCCACATTCTCATACTGCAACACTGACCGAAACGCACAGACAGCTTCACGAACCTAGGTATGCGCAAGTAAACAATTCAACCCAGCAAATCATCCTAAACACAGAGGCTTGGCTATGGCTCTACCAAGGCTAATTGTCTGCAATGCGACATGTCTGAAGTTCGTTGCCTTGATCGAAGCTACTAAGTCTCCATAGGCACCCATTCCGTCAAGCTTGATGCTCCACTGTATTGTCCTCTCTTCCTCCACGGGTGGCTTCAAACGCCAAGAAATAGAGCAGAACCCAACAGATTGCGAGACGGGCCCAAAAACACGAGCGGAATGATCAGAACCCACAGTCTTCGTCTGTTCTTCGTCCTTGCGTCGACGAAGGCGTCGGTCAACGTCGACGAGAGGTGCTATCGACGAACAAGGGGAACTTCTCGTCTTTGTCCACGTCAGCTTCGTCGGTACATCGATTGATTCGCGATCGGACCAATAAAATTTCGTTGCTTCGTCCGTCCCTCCTCTTATTGGTCAATCTCCTCGAGTAATCCACGGTCCAGATTTAAACTTTTTCTTTGTGTGATTTTAATGTTGTGAAGAAAATATTAAAAAATGATAATAATAAATTAAGCATGAAGACAGCATTTTTATTTTAAATTAAAATGTAAAGAAGTAATATTTTATTTCCTAATGAATGAAATCACAATGATTAAAATTCACATTTATTTATGACAGATATTGGAGAATCAGGTGATCTTCTTGGAGTTCTATCACAATAATCTGTATGTTGCATTTTTCCATGTTGATCAAATGAGACATAAAACATTGTCTATGTGAGGATATCTGTAAATATCTTAAAAACCAAACAGTTAAACCTCTTTCTAAGTGTGTGTTTATTTCTTTATCTATTTCATCATACTAGAAAGTAACATATGTTAGTAAAAGTGATTTAAATAAGTTATCTGAAATGCAGAAGTTCTCTAAAAACGACTTAAACATGATCTTTTAATAAAATGGAAATCAAATCAATTTATTTCAAAAAAAAATCAGGTAACAAGTAGTATATTCAAAATACTTGATTCAAGTTACAAAAATGTCGTATAAGGTATATATATATGTATATATATGTATATATGTATATATGTATATGTGTATATATACAGTTGATAAACATGAAAAACCTAAACATAGAATAACAATATTTAAAACCACAAATATCGTTGTACCAAACGGATGTAAAATACTGAATAGATGGACACAATCCACACATAAGTACACAAACAAGTTTCAAATTCAAAATAAAAATTGGTCGCTCTACAAATCTGTACAGAAATTGTGCAGAGAATATTCCAACGAGCATAATTTCATATAAGCTTTTTTCAGTTCTCAACTTAACACACGTATAAGCATTGCTCACAGTTTCCGTGCCACGTTGTCACTAATTGGAGCCCCAAATTAGTGAGTGAGGCTAATACACTCACTAATCACATTTTGAACGCGACAGCTCCCGGACGAGGAAGAGCGGAGATACCGAGGCGGCGAGGCGAAGCTCGATTTGCGAGTTTGCAAACGTGTTTTTTGTGTTGGGATTAGAGGCGCGAAGCTGTCTGCGAGGTTTTAAGCAGAAATCGTGTTTTGAGATCACTGACGTCGACCTAATCACGTTGAGTCGTGACAAAGGAGGGCGAAATTTGGGCGTCTGTGAGGCTAAAACCGCAACCGAGCAAAGAATGAATCGTGAGATGGGGGCAACAGGGATTCTTCCTCCCACAAAGCTCGTTGGATGTTTTTTCACGGTTCGAAGAATGTCGCGGACTCGCCACGTGTCGTGGAAGTCTTCGAGTCTCATTTCATGACTGGGTGTGTTGTTGGTCTCTCGCCTTTCAAAGTGGACTTACTGGATTTGAATCATCGTGCCATCTCATATGGAGGAAGGGTTGATGGATGTTGCGAAGGATTTCGTGCGCAGCTCAATTGTGGGGTAACTTTTTTTTTTAGTTTATTCGCAAAGGAATCTTAACCCACTAGCCTCTAGCCTCCACCTCTCTGAGAAAACAGTACGCCCACACATCCCTTGGATTTGCTTGCACATTTGTCCAAACTGTACACATACGCTTTCCATATCTTGGCCTCCTGGTCACTGCTTCACTCTAGACTTCTCTTGGTGTTACAACAGCCTGGTGCTGTCCCGTGGGGTTTATGACTTGATGTTGCGGTGAGTTTCACATGACTTTGTTTTGTGGGTGTTAATGTATCTATTTTTCTTTTCTTTTCCGACTTTTTTTCTATTTTTTTGTTGTCGTGTTTTTTCCTTGGAATTTTTGGGCTCACGAGGTTTTCTTTTGAGGCTTGTGAGTGCATCAAGTAGGTGGTTGTCAGATGAAATTCAACTGCGTTTGATTTGCAAATTAGTTTATCATCTTGCATAATTGACATGTGGATGTCGTTTTTGGGATCTGGTAAGTTTAACAAGCAGCTTTCCGATTCTTGACGGTACTCATTTTAGATAGGTGATCTGCATCATCAACTGTGGTCGCGTAATTGGCAATGAGTATCTTTGGTGGCTTGTGAATCGCCATTTTTAGAATCACGAAGTTCAGAGCTGCAGATCGTGGCCTTTGCCAAATTCTAACATATTCGGGTTTCGAAGTGTGTTACTTTGGACTCGTTTTGCCTGAGAATTAGTAGCCAATGAAAAGGTGTAGGGGGTTGCAAAATTAATCAGCTCCATTGCTACGAGGGAAGCTGTGAATGGAATTTATTAAGGTTGCGAACTTCGTGACGCTTTCGAAGGATTACTATTTGGTAATTACGAACTACTGTTGATGGTGGAGTGCAAGAATGTCATGAGCCAGCACTTCGAATCTCGCTAGTATTTCATTGCTCCTAAAGTGGGGTGCTCGTACTGGTAAAGCACTATAGTCTAGATCTCGATGAGCATTTCGCTACCTAAGTTTGATTATTAATTCAAAGCAGAGCACTGATATGAAAATTAGATTTTACGGTTGATCCGTGCTGTATGGTTGAGAGGCGTTAAACATTGCACCAATCTTCTTATTTTTTAGGTGTATCTCTAGTCTACTCTGCTCTCAGAGGTCCAATACCAGGCACCTCAAACGGCTGGCTCTGTTTACAGGTGACAATTTCATCGGAATGAAACCAAAATTGTCGAGGATTGTAATCGCCGCTAGAATCAATTTAGTTAGTCGCAGGTCAGAGTACACTTTCAGAAGTAATCTCTGCATGGTTCTGGTACCGACAGGGCAGGGATGAGCAAATTATGAATTAAAGCTTATGGTTTTTGTATGGCAGGTGCTCCATTTATTCGAAGGAGTGAAAGAACAGATGGCAACCTCCTCATCTGTTCCTTCGAAATTCTTTATCGCTTCTTACAGGCCTGATGTTTTTGGCGATTGCAGCATTGAAGAACTCAGAAGGTCTGCAAAAAACAATGTATCACTTTCAAATGCTTTTTTGGGAACAGGGAGGTTATATCGACACAGCCATGTGTTGAGTTTGCAAAATCAGGGAGGAAAAAAAGGACTCCTTCGATGCCAGGCTCTCTTTGGAAGGAATGCTCCTAAGGATGAGAATGATCCGGAGGATGACTCAACCAGGAGCATAAACAATGTAATTTCCTGTTTTCTATTATTATAATTTACGTTGGTTCAGCATATATGTGCTGTTAATTGATGGATACTAACTTGTAAGTTCCGGCTTTTATTCTCTAGCGATAACAATGATCAATTAGGATAATTATACAAAACTTCTTGTCAATGCATCGGAGTCGTGGTCTGCTCTTATTCAAATATGATTGTTGTTTCTTTGGATTGACTTAGTGAAAAGGGCTGTGTCATCTGTGTACATAAACTCAGAATTTAGACGTGGTGCTTATGTCTCATTCAGATAAGCTCTGAGGCTTTCCGGCAACGCATTGAACGAATAGTAAACAGTGACAATGCTGATGTTTCTTTTCGAGGGATAGATTTGGCTACACTTATAAGGAAGAAATAGGGGCGATCGTATGATGTACAATTTATTAAGAAAGTAAGTGCTTACCTTTTAATACGGACGATGAAATGTTGGGCTTTACATTGGACCAGTCTGTTAAGATGGGTTGCCCCCCAAATCTGTTTTTTGAACTGATTTGATACTTGGTCTCTGATCAGGATGCAGGAATTTATGGGACGCCAGCTCTTAGCTATGAATGTTATGTGGAAGTATCGTGAGCAGGTAACCATCATCTATTAAATACTTCTCTTTTAAACTTACACTCTCTAGAGCATGAGTTGTAGAATCTTGGCTTTGTGCATTGGGTCGGTCCAACATAGGTTTCACCGTTAGTGAAAATATGAATTGGCATTTTGAACACTATATCAGCTGAAGATAAATACAACTGTTTTAAATTAACCGTTCACCTAAGTTGCATTTTTAACCACATGCTCTAAAAAGACTGGACATGATTCAACTCATCATTAATTATTGAGATAACATGCTTCTCATTCTAGAGTTTCAACTGTTGAGTGCAGTTTAAAAATATACTTCACAAATTCTATTATTGAATACACATCTTATTGTGAAACTTAAGTTTCAAACATAACGTTTATAACAGGTCTTCGAAACTGTCAAAACACCTTGAACACTTATAGGTTAGCATACACTACGGTAGAATTACAAATTAACTCTGCCAGGAGATATACCAAAGTAAATATAGGTAATGACTTGAGAAATAGATGTGTTTAACATTTCTAAAAAAATAAAAAAATAAAAAAAAATCATTAACTAAAAATAAGCTGCATTCACACACACAGAGCAAAACTAGTTTCTTCAGCCCCAAACGACCACGCTGAATCATCAAATTGTACTACTTTTGAATGGTCCTATGAGTAACCAATAGCAATAATTGTTGCTGATTTTAAAAGTCAACAAGAAAGAATGCGCTGCCGATCACACATCAAGGTACTTGTGTTACTATATCCGGACTTTTGCTTTCCTGCTTTCAGTTTTGGAGGGATCTTAAGAAATGCCTTTTCTTGTGAAGTAACAACTTCACAGAGGGTGCCCTACGAGCAATTGCTCTCCATACCATATTTACAGCATCATAAGGCTTGGTGGGGTGCTGATACTCAAAGTGACGAGCCACAGCTTTCAGCCTCTTCCATAGAAATGTCCATTGAACTCTAGTAATGCTTCTCAAGAGATTAATGACATATTTTTCTTTGAGGGCATCTTCTGACTTGATGAAGACACAAAATTCGGAATAATCCAATTCATCCTCGAATGGCAACTCAATATCATCACTGATGATAACAGGAACACAATGGCTTGCAATAGAATCGAATAGGCGGTTAGAGGAAGGAGTATCTCCAGCAATATTGAGGCAGAACTTCGATCCCCTCATGCCCGAAGTTGCACTATGAACGCCTTCACTACCACTAGATCCTTCTTCAAAATGTACCCCTTCCTCATCTTTCAACATTTCGTAGAGCTGCTGTCGGATGACACCACCCTACATAAATTCATGAAATGAAGGTCAATAGATTACAATCAAAAGCACAAAACATTCTCCATTCCCTTCCGCATGCTATTCTGAAGTAGTTGGAGGTTGACATCCCAACAAAATAAGTACAATATCTTAACTAACATAACTGTCTTCTTCACTGTCATAATGGCAATATTAATTCAGTCATAATCCATCAGTCAACAAACTAAAAGCCTTCTGCAATAAATACTCGCTACGCGTGTATATAAATGTTTTCCCAGTAGATTGTGAAAAACGCATAGCCTCAACGATCCACCCTTCACTAGAGTTAAAAAATTGTAACATTCGAAAGTATGCAACGTAAAGATGCAAAAAACACAATCGGCAAAGAAGACAGCAACCAACCTGTTTCCTGACAATTGTTCCTTGAAAAAACAGAAGAGTTTCGCGGTCTTCAAACGAACTAGAGTCATTATCAAAAGAAGGAATTATATGTTTGTATGGAGCAACAACATCCTTCTCCACATTAGCTACATCAGGGGGATAGCGGCCAAAATCTGCGAGCACAAACAACACATTGCGGAAAGAATCTCTCATCGCGTGCATGCTGTTTGGATGATGCATGACAAGGATGTGGTCACACCCGTCAGAAGCTTGCCACGCTGGCTGCTGCTTCAGGTATTCAAGTAACTTCTCCTGTAGCTTCTGATTCTTATCACCAACTAAATCGAGCTCTCCACCCGCATGGTGTTCAGTTTTAGTATATTTGTTGTAGGCCACCGACGCAAAAAAAGGTACAAACATATAATCTGCTGCTTTCCAGTCACTTACTCGGAATGCTGTACAAGCGGATTGTCGACCAGCCATATTGGACGTGAGTAGGTCAGTGGTGAGCCAGTATTCGGGACTGTGCTGCTTGTAGAGACCCCCAAGGTATGGGGGTATATCTGTCACATTTTTTGGCCATGTTTGTTTACGAGAGTCAGTCTGCGCCACAAGCATTCCATAATGGAATTCGGGAGGAAGATCGTACATGAAAAGCTTCAGAGTTGCACTTTTGTCGTTGCATCCAAAGGGTACCTTCCCATCACCTCCAACAGGATGCGCGACACCATCACTGTCCGAACCACCCACTTCTTCACTTAGTAATCCAGACCTTTTCAAAGAATTTTCGGTTGCCCACGAATTCTGATCGGGAAGGCTAAGCTTCGGGAGTGAGTGAGTATCGATTTCTTCAATTATTTCAGTGGACCTCCTCATTGAATCAGCGAACATAAAGGTGCATGACAGGGCGAATATGGCAAGAAGAGAGAAGATTGCCAAAATGTGGTTTCTTGCTGCCCATTCTTCGTATCCGCGCAAGAGCCGAAAACGGGGTTGACAGGTGGATTTTGCCTCAACTGAACACGCTGGGAAGGAGATGCAATTAGGACCACAATTTTGGTGTTCCAGCACATTGCTCGGCAGTAATCCCCGTTTCATCATCTTCTCAGTCCTAAACGTTTGCTCCCCCACTGTGGCCATTACGATGAAGTTGGAGCACGTGAATCCTCGCAAAACATTTTACCGTGGGTTTGCGAGGTTGTTACCATTCAGTATCATAGAAGTCCCTCATACTGACTATTGCCTCTTATAGAGAGAATCGTGTAAAATCCGTACACACCATGTAGATTCACTAGGTGGCATAAAGTTGCCACTTAGGACCAACACCCTATTCAGCCATCATCTTCATCTCCAAATAGCTACAATCCAATGTTTTAGACCATCAGAATGCCCAAGGAGTCAAATCTAGATCGTTCCTTAGATTACTTTCTTGCTGCAGTATCGACAAGAAATCAAGTTTCCGAACACGCTTCGCAGTCCATATGGTTGAGCGCCACTATATCGTCGAAAATATCCAAGGAATCATGGCTTTTCGTGGCAGTTGATACACGAGCTGTAGGAATAAATACCACCTTACTGCGTGTACTGTCTGCAAGGATCGAAATCGAGCTCAATCATCTTCCACCACTGCAACAGTAGAATCGAGTGTGTTGATGTCATGCCAAAAGAAAGGAACCCTACTTTTGAAACTTCATAGTCCAACGTCCTTGTACGACCGTCGAAGAGCCTCCAAAGCCTCCACTGCGTAAAACTCAACAGCTTATAATAGCTCCTTGAATTCCGGTATGGCACAATTGAGCCTAACCAATGCCTGCGATAATGGAATGAAGAGAATACGTTGTCAGATAATAAAAATATTCGATGGAGGAAATGTTCTATTGAACATTACACATACGCAAATTTTAGGTTCCTATTGCTATACTAGCTGTTCAAGTATCTACGTCCAAGGTAACAGACATAAGATATGTATCGCCATAACTTCACCAGATCTGATACGCTAGTATTCACGATCGACCCAAGTATCAGCTTCTAAAGCTGCATTGCATAACTCGGAGATTTTGTAAACAGGAATAGGTGACACTACGAACCTTGAATCTAGACTCACAACTTGGAGGAAAAATCACTTCAAGGAGAGCACAAAAAAGTCCCAAATACTGACAGCAATTTCGACGCGCAATCAACGAATAAAATCGAATAACTCTGTAAAAATGAAAAATGCACCGGCACAAGCTGTCACCACAAAACCGACTCCAAACGCATCAACGGCAGCCCTCTTACAACAAGTCTTCCGGCAGGACTAACTTTCAAAGGCACTAAACTCCCCCTTCCACTTTCAACCATAATTTTGGGGAGCAAAAACCAATCACTGAGAGTCTGTCGGTCGTGACAGATACCTCTAAATCCTCCACGCCAAAGCTCCACACGGCGCTGCGAATGCAAGTGAACAACAAACCACGGCTGAAGGCTACAAAAGCATCAAATCCAAACCAACCGACTGCACAAGTAGAAACGAACAAAGGCGCTCCAAACACATCGGGATTGCAAAACCCGAAGCTAAAACAGGAAACAAAAAACAGGGGATGATAGGGGGCAGAAGATAAGAGGAATGAACAGTATCAACCTCGGCACAACCATCGTCGTTCATCCTCAAAACGAGGTATCGAACAAAGCCCAGAATAGACATCGCCAACGCGGCCCGCAGCGCCATTGCTATTCGGGAAATTGGAGGGCGATACGGTCCATTTGGCTCGTTTCAGCCTAACGCTTTTTTGTATGATTGACGAGCACAGGCGCTATTCGATTCCAGCCCATACTTCAGGCTTTTGCTCGAAGATAGTCCTCCCCACCATCGCCATCGCCGCAACGACTCCGCATCTCCACATCCTCTTTCGTTGCGGCGCAGCATGTGCATGCAGAGCTCACACATAATTTTTAAATATTCGAAATGGTATCGTTTATACTGCTCCCCATTAGATTCTGTGGAGGTGGTCTGTCACTAATCGAAATTGTCGAGGGATCAAATCCTCATGCCTGTGTTCTGATGAGCAAGCCGACTTCTGTCGTTGTAAACTCTTCTTCGGTGATAGAAACCATCAACGTGTGTCTGCAGATGTCGACATCCAGCTCGCACTCTGACCTGTTTACTTCATCATTATGTATGTCATCTATCTTCCCGTCATCCATCCATGCGTGTCTACTGAATCATTTTGTGTGTGATTTTGAGCAATTAGACAGGGTTAAGGGTTTAAGGCTTATTAAAATGGTTTGGTGCAAGTAGCCATTTGGAATTTCTGTTCATTGGGTACCAGGTACCAATTGAAGTAAGTATTCCGCTATGGCCTGCAAATGTAGGGACATGCATTGACTTACATGATTTATCGAGTAGAATTTGAAGAGGTGTTTTGCTTACAATATCATGTCAACCAGATTCTCAATGGAGGTGTTGTTGGATTTTTTTTTTTTTTTTTTTTTTTTTGTTCAAATGGACAAGAGGGTCTTTGTATGTGTTAGTAAAGTTATGTTATCGAATTTTGACAAAGGTCCCTATTTGGTGAGAAAAAGTTATATTTTTGAAAATCGTGGCTTTTGAAGATAACATAAAGTGAGAAGAAGCCATGTGATGGAGCAAACTGTTATTATTTATTACTCGTAAGATTGTTAATTCATATCTCCATTCTGGCAATTAGTTATTTATACATATATAATTACTTTTCCTTTTTTATTCAAATAAAAAATAAATTATTTAGCACTTATTTGTATTTCTTGTCAACTTTTATTTTTAAAAAGAACAATTTTTTGTGGTGCATATAGTGCAAATCCCACAAGAAAAAGAAAAAAACATTGTTCATGTATTATCACTTAGGAAAAAAAGAAAAAAGAAAAAAGAAAAAAGAAGTAAGCGCTATTTTTTATTTTATTTTATTTTTTACAATCTTTTGAGATGATTTTTTCAAACATACAGCCAAGTAAGTGAGGCTTCTTAAATTCTGCAAATCGAAAGATTTAAAAGTTTTGACCTCTTATGTTCTCCCCCAAAGTCTCACAAAGTTAAGTTGTAGAAAATATCTACATCATACATTATTGCATTTGATTTAGTAATATTATGGATGCAATTAGATACTAAAACAAACAAATAAATAAATAAAAGTGGCATAAACACAAGTGTGTTTCAATGTGTTTAAAATTATTTCAGTCTTCAACAGCTAAAATGATGTGAGTAATTGCAATCATAATTTTGATTCATCATACCTCTCTGTTCTTAATCATTTTAGTATTTTCCTTAAAAATAAAGTAACGATAATTGTTAGTTAAGGCAAGAATACTACTAGACGACCTATGTTATACCTAATTTTAGGGATACAAACTTCAATAAATAAATAAACACATATTAAAAAAATGTAATATATGTATATATATATATATATATATATACGAGGAGAGAGAGTCTAAACTCAACAAGTTTCATTTGCAGCAAGCTTATTACAATATTTAAGGTTAAAGTTAAAATATAGTTTCATCTTTTTTATGCAGATGTACATTTTCTGTACTATGAATACTAAAGAGTTTACAGATCTTTTCAAATAAAAACACTCAATTGATACACTATATTATTTTATATAAATATATAAATATATTGGAAATTGAACTCACATCAGTAAATCTTCAATAAAACAACATCACCTAATGATGCCAAAACGTTATTGGATATGATTCAATGTTTTCAAGAATAATATTGTTGAACAGAATAGCTTGAATATTTTTGACAGGGATCAAACTGAAAATAATAACTAAAATTTAATACAATTTGTATCAATTAATAATGAAACACTGGTATTGTTTGGTAGCATTGTTAGATGTAGATGGTTATATTTTGTTTCACAATAAAAATAAAGTAGTTATTATTACATATATTGGTGACTTTTAAAAAATGTTAAACAAATAAAATCAGAACTACACATCATGGTATCAAAACATGCCAACCAACTAAAAAATCTTAATTTTGATTTATATTACATTATTATGTTACTCACAACAAATTTATATATTTATCAAACAAAATAATTTTCATGTGTTTGATTTATATAAATAATGTAAAAATATAACCCAATATTATATTTTTTTCAAAGGTCAATTAATATTATATTTGATTATCATCTTATTATATTTGTATATTCTTTTGTGAGCTATTGAGCAATATTTCTATTGTCATTAGAATATTTTTAATCATGAAAGACTTTATTTTATTAAGCCATCAAATATATGTTTCAACAAAGAATAGAATTGTTACTTTATGAAATTATGTGTATATATTAGCATAGGGTGTTTTTGTTTCAAATATATGTTTCAACAAAGAGTGGAATTGTTACTTTATGAAATTATGTGTACATATTAGTATAGGGTGCTTTTGTTTCAAGATGTTAGTGTGGAATAATATATAATATAAGAATGATTTACAATACAAACAACATAACCAAGGATCATACAAGCATGTTTCATTAACAAAAACAAACAAACAAACAAATAATAACTAATAAAGAAATAAAAAGTATAAATAAAAAATATATTCACAAAACTAAATAATATGAATAACTAAAATGAATGCATATGGCTAAAAAAATGCAACAAAAAATAAAAAATAAAAAATAAAATCTAACTATGTAAATCTAATAAGTGGAAATCCATGCTATTGGCAAAAAAAAAGTTATAAAAGTTTAACAAGTTATGATTGCTAAATAAAAAATTGTCCATTCTTAAAGAAAATTTGATAATATAATAAAAAATAATAAAATAAAATATATGCATTATAATGGAGTTATTTATATATTTTAAAATAATTAGAAAATGTAATTTTTATTCACTATGATAACTTAAATAGCTAAGTTAAAAGAACTTTGAAATAAATTACAGTGGTGTTTTGGTATTCATTATTTTTATGACACATGATCTTGCACATATTCAACAAAGTGCATTGTGAAAAGATAACATATAATTGTTCATATGCAAATATGTGGATTTTAGAATCTATTGCTATGTTCTTCAAAAATTGTCATTGAGATTTATTAATGGTCATTGAAAATTCTACATTTATTTTTAACTGTCTTTTATACAACTTAAACAATATCTTTATAGATGATGGATATAACAAGATATAGATAAGATATTTGTATTATTAACACATAAGGATAGATAGTTGGAACCATGTTTGAGAAGTTATGGAAGTTTCTAAAATTGGTGCTAAGTTAGTGGACCATGTAGGATCCATTGTGGAACATTCAAAAAAGAATTTAGGGCGATTATCTAAGTGGGCGTACTATAGAACCTTCTAGAAAGAATTTAAGGCAGTTACCTAAGTAGGGTCTATCATCTAGGAACATTTTAGAAAGTCTAGGATGATAGAACAAAGTATAAATAGAACTAGCCAAGACCTTCTAGGCATCTGATCAGGTATGACTTTGGACCTTCTTTCTTAGGAAAATTTTGTTTTGCATCTTCTTATTCACTTTTATTTTGCTCTATTTCTATTTGTATAGTTTTGTCTTTCATGCCTTATTTTGTTTAGTTTTGTTCAATATTATTCTAGACTATTTTGTTCTACTTTATGATGAAGTTTTATATGGTTGTGGATTAGAAGAGTCTTAGACTCTCAAGATAGACTGGTCCTATTTCAATGGATATGATATGATTTCAAGAAAAAAAATCCAACTCTCTTTTGTAGTCTCAAAGTAAAAATCTTCCATCTAAAATTTAATTAATCAGTTGTATAATGGCCAAGTATAATCCATTGCAAAGTTCTTGATACAAAATAATGTTTTGCATTAATATAATATAATATATGATATTTATCTTGAAATTAAATGATAACAATCCAAATGAATTTAAGCCATTCAATTAATTGGTTGGATAATAATTACCATTATTAATACTATTTTTTATAACTACTATGTATGTATTTAATTAAATACATGAAACTTCAAAAAACTCTCTATAGCACATTAATATCATAATTTTGTATAAAATAAAATAAATATGTTGGTGAAATATTTATCTCAAAGTATTTGAATTCTATATAAATTAATTATATCAAATCATTTGACATTGGACCAACTATCATTTATTTTCAAAAAATTATTATACTTCTAAATGATTATACAATTGTTAATTCATTATTTCAGACATATATATTCATATGAATAAGAATTTTTAAATAAAAAATAAATATAAATAGATTTGATATTATCTTATAGAAAAGCTTTTTAAAATTTTTATAGACATGTATTTGGCTTTATACATGTTTGTAGTTGATTGGTAGGTTAGAAACTTGGCCAACAATGTAGCCATGAGTTGCATGTATTGGTAGCTTGTAATAAAAGCTCATGATATGGCATACATATAAGAAACTTGCCTTCCAAGTTAAAACATGTGTCTTGTAAAGTCAACACATGTTGGAGGTCCTATAAAACATTGCAACATAGCTCCTACTTAGATAGTAAACATTAGTACAAGTAAAGCCTTCTTTACTTTTATCAATATCTTTCTAGTCTTTAGTCTTATTTTAAGACTTTCTAGTCTTCTTGTCTTTCGCAATAGCCATTTTGGTTCGATATATTACTATCTTTGACTGACTTTCTAATCATTTTGAGTGACACAAGAGTATATTGAATTTTCTTTCTTTAAGATTCATGTGCTTGATATTTATTTAATTTGTAAATGGATTTTATTTTTAAATATATTAAATATTAATATTATATTATAAAATAGTATTTTAATATAATAATCTTTTATAATATCTATTTTTAAAAGCTCTTTAATAAATAATCAATTTTTTTTTATCAAATACGTCTTTTTAATATATATTTTTCTATATTTGATTGAAGAGCAAATGTTTTTGCAAAAATCAAAGATTTGGACTCATATTAAAGTATGGACGTTGATTTGGTTTCATATTAAAGTATGGACGTTCAATAAGGATTTGGTCTCATATTAAAGTATGGAATTTTTTTTTCTACTTC